CAAGCCCAAGCAGGATTCTGTCAGAAGGGGATCCAGCCTTAACAGGATTGTATTGAGACTGGATCCATCCCCAGTAGCAGGACCCTATTTGAACTGAAGCGATCCAGAAAACAATTCGTTTCAGCCTGGTAGAACCCTGATGGGAATTTATAGAAATTGGATGCAACCCTAGTCGAATGTTATCAGAGCCGGCGCTGGGCGCCAGCGCCAGGCGTGCCGCCGCCGCTGACTTCGTCGTCGTCTTAGTCGTCATTGGCGTTTGAGATGTTGTCGGCGTGCGGCGTCCGCGTCTTTGTCGTGGTCGTCTTCCTGCGTCGTGGTCGTCATCCTCCGTCGTCGTCGTCGTTGTCGTCGTCGCCGTCGTCGTTGTCGTCGTCGTCGTCGTCGTCGTCGTCCGCGTCGTCGTCGTCGTCCGCGTTGTTTGCCGACGTCGACGTCGTCGGCGTCGTCGCCGGCGTCGACGTCGTCGGCGTCGTCGGCGGCAGCGACGTCGTCATCGTCGTGCTCGTCGTCGTCGGCGTCGGTGTCGGCGTTGGCATCGGCGTCGGCGTCGGGGTCGTGTTCGTGCTCGTGCTCGTCGTCGTCGTCGTTCTCGTCGTCGTCGTCGTTGTAGTTGTTGTCGGCGTCGCCTCGGCGTCCGCGTCGTCGCCGTGGTCGTCGTCCTCCGTCGTGGTCGTCGTCCTCCGTCGTCTTCGTCGTCGTCGTCGTCGTCGTCGTCGTCGTCGTCGTCGTCGTCGTCGTCCGCGTCGTTTGCTGGCGTCGACGTCCGCGTCGTCGTCGTCGTCGTCGTCGTCGTCGTGCTCGTCGTCGTCGGCGTCGTTCGCCGGCGTCGTTTGCCGGCGTCGTCGTCGTCGTCTGCCAGCGGCGGCTGCCAGGGGGAGGGGGAGGGGGGTTTCTGGACTCCCGTATAATTTTCCAGGGCGGGGGTGGACCCCTCCACTGATTGTCCCAGGGGGGGGGTGTCCAGACCTCCCGGTTCTTTGAGGGGGTGGGGGGGTGGGGGCAGGTTGTGACCCCTTGGTCCGTGACCCCTGGTTTGTGACCCGCCCCCCTCAGAATTTGTTTTTCGGGTGGGGGGTCTCCCAGTTGCTGCGCGCCCCCCCCAAAAAGAATTTGTGCCAGGCCGACGGGGGATCGCGCTCCCTCTCAGGGGCGGCCCGCCCGACCCCTCGCAAACCATATCCCCTCCCATGACGCCCCATTTCGCCTCGCCCCAAGACGTACAGTGGAGGCCCATGCCAAGAAACACCCTGCTTCCCTCCAGGGTGCCCTGGGTTTCCTGGGTTTCGACGGTTCGGCCATGGAAAGCGCGGCGTTCCCGCACCAAAAACAACTGGACGTCCTGGGGTCTCAGGGTTGGGTTTCTTGTGGAAGAATTCTTGTGGACTGGGTCTCCACTGTATGTGTGTGGCCGGAGGGGGGCTCGAACGGCGAGGATGATTTCACAGGAGGGGACCGTTTGCGAGGGGTCGGTGCGGCCTTGCCCGGTATCCCTCAGACCTGACCTGGCGACCACGCCCTGCTCGAGCGAGCCCGAGAGACGCCAGGGCCTCGGGGCCTGCCGGGGCCTCCCCATACCCCCGTCGTCGTGATTTTTGCATAACGTCGACCCCCAGACCCAGAGATCCAACGTATTGAAAATTATCCCAGTGCGACCCTACCTAGGAGTTGGAGCCCCTAGGAAAGCAGCATGAGTAGTAACAGTAAAGCTAAGCTAAAGCTAAGCTAAAGCTAAGCTAAAGCTATTCTACAGCTAAACTAAAGCTAATCTAAAGCTAAGCTAAAGCTAAACTAAAGCTAAGCTAAAGCTAAGCTAACGCTAAGCTAACGCTAAGCTACAGCTAAGCTAAAGCTACGCTAAAGCTAAGCTAAAGCTAAGCTAACGCTAAGCTAACGCTAAAGCTAAACATAAGTTAAAGCTAAACTAAAGCTGAGCTGAATATAAGCTAAAACTGAGCTGAATATACGTTAAACGAAATCTAAGCTGAAGCTAAGCTAACGCTAAGCTAAAGCTAAGCAACGCGAAGCTAACGCTAAGCTAAAGATAAGCTAACGCTAAGCTACAGCTAACCTAAAGCTAAGCTAAAGCTAAGCTAAAACTAAGCTAACGCTAAGCTAAAGCTAAGCTAAACATAAGCTAAAGCTAAAGCTACATGTAAGCTAAAGCTACGCTAACGCTAAGCTAAAACTAAGCTAACGCTAAGCTAAATCTAAGCTACATCTAAGCTAACGCTAAGCTAGCGCTAAGCTAAAGCTAAGCTAAAGCTAAGCTAAAGCTAAGCTACAGCTACACTACAGCTAAGCTAAAGCTAAGCTAAAGCTAACGCTAAAGCTAACGCTAAAGCTAAAGCTAAAGCTAAAGCTAAAGCTCCCAGGGGACTGGGGGAACCGCTCCCAGGGGACCAGGGGAACCGCCCATGGCGGTTTACACTGCCCGGCCCCTTTATGCTAGAGAGTAAGAACCCTTCTAGGCAGAGCCTAGGTAGGGAAAAATCAAGACACGTTTTTTTCGCAATGTTCGGCCTCTAGGGGTCTTCGCTGGGCCCTGGGACCGTCAACAAAACGGCTCGGGATGAAAAACTCGTCCTGGGGAATGAGTCGAGACTTCTGGACCGCGTACTGAAATAACCCGGATACGCACCCAACCTTTTTAAGCATGTGGCGAGTATACATCGGACCGCTCAATACAAAAGCAGCCATTGAATGATCCGCAATGCCCTGGAACGCTTCGCCAAAGATCCTCGGGCCAGAGTCATAGGTTTCACATATGCGGCGTCACTCTTAAGAGTCAGGTCGTTGGCAGGAGAGCGACCACGAGGAGGCGTGGAAGCATGTGGAGGAGGGACGATGGGAGACATACTTCGTAGGAGTAGCAGCGCCTTGCGCCGTGTTCGTATTGCCGGACAGCGCTCTACAAGGGTGCCGCACAATCTAAGGACGCAAGGGTGCCCTTGGGAAGGTTATCCGTCCTTATCCGTCCACGGGGCGACTATAAGCAGGGCTGGGATCACACCTGCCTGTGCCTCATGTGTTCAGCCCTGTGCCTGACAACCACCGGGTTTATATAACCGGCCGCCCATGCCACATGGGACTGGTGGCGACAGTTTCACGGATCGCAGGCCCCCATGTGACGGCGAGCTATAGTTGTGATGTGCGTAAGACGTCGCTCCGCTGGCCCTCCGAGGAGCCCACGAAAGTGGCGGCAGTGTCGCAGATCGCAGCCCCCCAGGGGGCGGCGAGCTATGGTTGTGATGTGCGTAAGACGTCACTCCGCTGGCCTTCCCAGAAGCCCATCGCACCCCCCCTGGGGGCGGCGAGGTCTCGTGGTGATCCGCGAGAGATGTCACTCCGCTAGCCCTCCCAGAAGCCCACGAAAGTGGCGGCAGTGTCGCAGATCGCAGCCCCCCCCCAGGTGGCGGCGAGGTCTCGTAGTGATCCGCGTAAGACGTCACGCCGCAGGCCGTCCCAGAAGCCCACGAAAGTGGCGACATTTTTGCAGATCGCAGCCGCCCCCCTGGGGACGGCGCGGTCTCGTGGTGATCCGCGTAAGACGTTACTCCGCTGGTCCTCCCCAAACCCCACGAAAGTGGCGGCAGTGTCGCAGATCGCAGGCCCTGCGGGGTCGGCAAGCTGTAGTTGTGATGTGCGTAAGACGTCACACCGCTGGCTCTCCCAGAGCCCATCGCACCCCCCCAGGGGGCGGCGAGGTCTCGTGGTGGTCCGCGCGAGATGTCATTCCGATGGCCCGCCCAAATCCCCACGAAAGTGGCGGCAGTGTCGCAGATCGCAGCCCCCCAGGGGGCGGCGAGCCATAGTTGTGATGTGCGTAAGACGTCACTCCGCTGGCCCTCCCAGAAGCCCATTGCACCCCCCCTGGGGGCGGCGAGGTCTCGTGGTGATCCGCGAGAGATGTCACTCCGCTGGCCCTCCCAGAAGCCCACGAAAGTGGCGACATTTCGCAGATCGCAGCCCCCCCCCGGGTGGCGGCGAGGTCTCGTGGTGATCCGCGTAAGACGTCACACCGCTGGTCCTCCCAGAAGCCCACGAAAGTGGCGGCAGTATCGCAGATCGCAGCCGCCCCCCTGGGGACGGCGCGGTCTCGTGGTGATCTGCGTAAGACGTTATTCCGCTGGTCCTCCCAGAAGCCCACGAAACTGGTGACAGTTTCTGGATCGCAGACCCCCTGGAGACGGCGAGGTGTCGTGGGGATCCGCGTGCGACGTCATCTTGCTGGCCCGAAAGTCGCGGCAATTTCGCAGATCGCAGCCACCCATGGGGCGGCGAGGTCTCGCGGTGATCCGCGTGACACGTCAGTCCGCTGGCCTTCCCAGACGCCCACGACAGTGGCGACAGTTCCGCAAACTAGCTCCCCAGGGGACGGCGAGGTCTCGTGGGGATCCGCGTAAGACGTCACTTCGCTGGCCCATCCAGAACCCCACACCCACAACAGTGGCGACACTTTCGCAGTTCGCAGCCACCAATGGGGCGGCGAGGTCTCGCGGTGATCCGCGTGAAACGTCAGTCCGCTGGCCTTCCCAGAGGCCCACGAGAGTGGCGACAGTTTCGCAGATCGCAGCCACCCAAGAGGAGGAAGAAAACGAGGAGGAGGAGGAGGAGGAGGAGGAGGAGGAGGAGGAGGAGGAGGAGACAGGAGGGAGGAAGGAGGAGGGGGGAGGAGTGAGTGATGGAGACCACGGTGCTGTGTCAAAGCGAGAGCCCAACCAAGGGATGGTTGGGAAAAATCACGACATCGGATCTCTGGGGAGGTCCCGACTCCTTCCCCGGCACCAGTTTCTCATCCTGACTTTTTTTTGACGATCCCGAGTCCTGGTAAGGGCCCCCAGGGGCCGAAACTTGCGGAACACCGCCTGTCGTGATTATGTTCACTGTGCGAGGCGGTCTGGGTCCGCAGCCTTTCTGGGCTCGAGCTGCTCTGGCTCCGGTGCCGCCCGCCTGGCATGGGCCGCCCCGGCCCGCCGCCCCCCGCGACGGCGAGAGGCCCCGCCGCCCGCGCCCCGCGGCCTGCCGCGCCCCGCGGCTGGCCGCCGCCGCCCGAGGCCGCCGCGGCATATGGGGGCGCCGGCCGCGCCCGAGGTCTCTGAGGCGCCCCTTCGCTTCTGGCGCCCCAAAGATCCAAGGCATTGCAAAAATCAAGACGGAGGTGTTTCACAATTTTGCGCATTTTTCGGCCTCTACAGGCCCTCGCTGGGCCCCGGGACCGTCAAAAACGGCTCAGGATGAAATACCCGTCCTGGGGAATGGGTCGAGACTTCTGGGGACCGCGTATCTCATCTCTGGGACAGTGGAGACCCATGCAAAGAGACACCCTGCTTGCCTCCATGGTGCCCTGGGCTTTCGGGTTTCGATGGTTCTGCTGTGGGGAGAGCGTGACGATCCCACACCGAAAATCAAGGGACGCCCAAGGGTCCCAGGGTTGGGTTTCTTGTGGAAGGTTTCTTGTGGACGGGCCCCTACTGTATGAAAAAAAACACGGCGGGAGGTTGTTCGCCACTTTCTAACTCGGGGGGCTCCTACCACGACTGAGGATGAAGAACAGGTCCCGGGGAATGGGTCGAGGCCTCTGGGGGTCGACGTTACAAGAAAACGTGACGTCTGGGGTCTGGGGAGGGGGCTCGACGTGTACACCACGATGGTTGGTCGGCCGAGGACCCCGAGACCCAGGCGCTGCAGTTTTTTTTGCACCAGGCACGCCCGCCTGGCTTCGGACCCCGGGACCATCTCAGATCGGTCTGTTTCGAAAAATGCAGCAGAAAGAGCTGGTCTGGGGTTCTGGTCGCGATTTGTCGCGATGCTGCAACTGTCCGCAGCGTCGGACCTCGAGGGAGCCAATTCGTTCGGCGAGGGAGTTCTGTGCAACTTGGAGTCGGCTGGGGGTCTGAGGTGGCCCAGCGCTTGCTCTGGTAAGCAGGAGGGAGGGGGGAGAGGTCCGAAGTTCTGGGCTCGAGAGGTTTGATTCCTCCTGTCTCTTGGGGCAGTTTTCGGGCCCCGGGACCTTTGAAAACGGATCCGGGGTGAACCACTGCAGCAGATGGGAGGGGTCCAGGGACCGATGTTGAGCGAATTTGATTTTATACCCTTGTCTTGACAGGTTTTCTCGGGGCTCATCAACTCAGACCCCCTGTCCGCCTCTACTACACCAATTCGTTTGGCTGGCCAAGGAACCAAAGAGCTCGACGAAGGAGCTCAGTGTATAGATGCTCCAGCATTCCACAGCTCGAAAAGCTGGGGTGTCCGTACACCGAGCTCCTCGGTCGACTTCTTCAGTCGGACCGAGGTGTAAGATCGAGGTCGGTTCGGGGAGGGTCTCCTAATGTTCTTCGTGCTTGTCGGATGTTATTGTGCATTTTGGGGAGGGTACCCTTGGATACTCTGTGCGTTTTGGCCGGCGCAGGGCTTCATTTTCTTGGAAAATGTTCTTCTGTTCTAGGTCCGACTGTAAACGACGTAGTGTACGCACCGATCGGCGGCGAGCGAGGGGGGAAGTAAGAAGGAGAAGGCCTTCTCAGAAGGCGGCGGGGCTTCTCAGAAGCCCCCTGCCTGGCCTTCTGAGAAGCTTCCCGTGTCCGGGGGGAAGGCTCGGGAAGCTTCTCTCGGGAGGCCCGGGGATTCCCGAGCCTTCTGAGAAGGCCCGCCCCTTCTCGCTTCCCCCCTTCCTCGCCCGCCGCCAAGCCGAGCCCCTCGCACACCCTCCGCCTCGTTTGCGACCTGCGTCCCGCCGCGCCCCGCCTCGCGGCGGGGCGCGCTTCGCGCGGCGGGGCCCTCCGCGCGGGGGGTGGGGTGCGCGGGGAGCGGCGGAGGTGTTCCGGGGCGCCCCCTGGGAGGCTTCCGGATCTGTTTTTTTGTGGGGGGCTCGTGCGCTGGCATCTCCTCCTCCTCCTCCTCCTCCTCCTCCTCCTCCTCCTCCTCCTCCTCCTCCGCCTCCTCCTCCTCCTCCTCCTCCTCCTCCTCCTCCTCCTCCCCTGCTCTGGGACTCGAGACGCCGCGTTGTGGAAGGAGCCCGGCGGAAGAGGGTCTCCGGGCTGTCTTCGGCTCCCCAGGGGGGCCCTCGCGCCAGGCCCTGAGGCCGTTCAGAGAGCGCTCGGGAGGAAGAGCCAGGGGGGCGTGGAGGTTTTTTTCGGAAGGGCTTAGGCGACCCGTCCTCCTCCTCCTCCTCCTCCTCTTCCTCCTCCTCCTCCTCCTCCTCGTTCTCCCCCTCCTCCACCTCCTCCTTCTCCCCCTCCTCCACCTCCTCCTCCTCCTCCTCCTTCTCTTTTTGCGGGCGCACACTCATCAGAGGATGCAACCTGTGACGGGACGATTAATTAGGCGCCGCCCGGGGCCTGCTTGACAGGGCCCGCCGTTAGCGGTCGCGTGTGGCCACACTTTCTCGCAGCTCTGTACGCGAGTGTGTCTGCAGCGTCTAAATGCGCTAGCCTATCGGCATCCATGGGTGAGGTGTTGGCGACGACCCACAGCCAGCAAGCGGTCCGATGAGGTTTCGACCAGTGTGCTATGAGACGGGTCGAGTCGAGAACTGTTTTGTGGTACGCCTTGCACACTCCATCTTCGTCAGCGTACAACCGCCGAGTGCAACACATGCAATAATGGGAGGCGAGCCCACTACTGCTCATTGTGTCACGAGACGCATCACACACAGGCGCAAAGAAGCGAATGCCATGAACGATGTTCTTCCACTGCTGAACACTGTCAACCATGATGCTCCACCAGGGATTCGAATCCACGGCAGGGTCAGGCAGGCAATTTCGGGCCGCCGTGGACACTCTGTAGCAGGATGACAAGTCCGCCCTCACACTCGTCTGACCCACGGCATCGCTTGACTGGGCCCGTCCTCTCTGTCACGCCCTTGAGACAGCAAAGCAAGCAACGCATGACTGTCGGAGCGGAGAAGACGAGCAAGTTGCAACAGCCCCTTCTGCAACAGTATGCAATCTATGGGCACCATGCCGGCATGCTCCTTGGCATGAATGTCCGATCCCGAGTCCCGTCGAAATTCACGCGATTACATATGCGACGCGCAACGCGCATGTACACAACATTGAGCACGCGCACCTCACGAGCCTTCAGCATTCTGACGTGCGCATTGTACAGAAGCTTCGACAACCCCAGACCTTGACAGAACAACGTGCGAAGCGACACTCGGAAAGCCAGGTTTCCAAACACCTTCCTGGCGATCGGTGCGTACGAAGATATCGCACTGCTCGCCCTTTGGGTCACATACGGGATGTTCGACCAATTCATCGCCGTCGCAGAACCAATGCTTAGGCTCAGAGACAACATGCAGAATGGCGCCGCCTTGCAGGTTGATCCCACTACGGCTTTGAGTACGAAGTTTCATACAGTGTTCTGAAGCACTCGCCCCACGAAATTTCATGAAAGCTTCTGTTTTGTTTTTGTTCTAGTTAATAAGCAAACGGAAAGACGAGAATATCTCAACGAGCACATCTAACAGCGTGTGGGTGGCTTCCCACAGCATGCGGGGCGAGCGCGCAAACAACACCATGCACAAATCGTCAACAAAGGCGGCTTAGGACTCCTCCTCCTCCTCCACCTCCTCCTCCTCCTCCTCCTCCTCCTCCTCCTCCTCGGGTCGCTTACGGCCCCGGGGGAAACCGTGCAGCCCCGGGGGCGCTAGCATCTCGCTCGCTTCCGTGGCCATGAAGTCAACCCGCATAGTAAGGATGGGCAGCCTTCCCAAGGGTACCTTCGCATCCTCGCCTTATCGGTCCATCCTTGGCCACTTTCGCTGGCCGCGCCCCGCTCGAAGAGCTTCGAGATGGGCGTCCAAGGCCCTTGCATCCTTATCGCGCATCCTGATGATACGGGCCGGCTGTGCTTGTTTTTGCCGCCGGGGTCGGAGCCGTACGCGCGCCGGAGGTGCTCGAGGCTCTGGAGGCCACGCTGCCGGAGGACGCGCCCGCGGGCCACGAGGCGTGGCAGAAGGTCAAGTTTACGGACAAGCGTGCCGGGCCGTATTCGTACTTCTATTTTGGGTCGCAGAGGTTCTCCTCCTCCTCCTCCTCCTCCTCCTCCTCCTCCTCCTCCTCCAGCCGCGCCGGGCCGTATTCGGCCTTCTCTTTTGGGTCGCAGAGGTTCCAGACGACGCTGAAGAGCTGCCTCACCGAGCAGGTCGCGCCTGGGCTGCAGGGCGGCCTGCCTAAAGTCACGGCGCCACTTGTACGTGCATGCTGCGCTATGCGTAACGCGCGATCAATCTATGTATAATATTGTTTCGAACACAATCCATTTGTACATATACGTATATAGGTATATATGTATGTATGTATAAATGTTTATATATTTATGTTTTTATATATCTAGATGGCAGAGCGTTCTGGGCAGCGCGCCGAACATGAATGAGCATCAACGCATGCGCTACCACGCATCGCAGCATGCAGTCAGTGATGGGCTCCGTCACAGGACATAGAGCGACCACCCAGCAGAACATAACGCGGTCTCCCCCGCTCGTGCTCGACTTATTCGCGTTCGCTTCAGCATTCGCGGCAGCATTCGGTTCAGCTCCATCGTAGCCTTGCTCAGCCTCGCTGACCCCAGCAGCTTGGCTGCGCTCTGCTTGGCTTAGCATTGCCCAGCCTGGCGTAGCATAACTCGGCCGATTTTTCTCTAGCTCGGTGCCAGCCACTCGGGCTGCTTTCCTCGCACAAGTGGGCCCGTCGAGGCCCTGCTGCGCGTGACCCGAGCCTGCTACGTGAAGTTCTCGGAGGGGCAGCCCAAAGAGCGCGTCATCGAGTTCAGGGACCAGGTCTACGACAGGATCAAGGGGATCCCTCCCGAGAAGCGGCGGAGGCTCCTCGAGGCGACTGGCGCCGCCCTGGCCGCGCCACCAGCGGCGGGCGCCGAGGAGAGATCGGCCGCACGTGAAACCCTTCGTCGGAGTGACTTCTGATGCGCGGCTTTCGGGGGGCGCCGGGGGGCCAAGCTCTGGCACGCAGGCGGTCCTTGCCGCACTGCGCTCGGCGATCGGCAGGCCGCGCACGAAGAAGCCACCCTTTTGCGGCAGGGCCGCCCTCTTAGGATGCGACCCTTGGAGTGTTAAAGTTGGCATCGGCGCTGGCATATCCCCAGACATGATCGCGTCATAAACGGATCAGGGCGGGAGGTTTTTGGTCAACTTCGGCGTCCGGGAGCCATCGCCGGGCCTCGGGACCGTCAAAAAACGATTCAGGATGAAAAGTCGGTTCCGGGGAAAGGGTCGGGATTTCCAGGGGGCTCGTATTGAAAAAATGAGGACGTCGCATGTCTGGGTCTGTATTGAGATCCAGCCGAATCTAGCTAATTCCAAGCACTCCTGGCCAAACCCCGCGCACTCCGGCCTGATCCTGGTCGCACTTTGTTTTTTGGGGGGGGCGTGGGTGCCCTCCCAGTCGGGCTTACTAGCCTTTACTCGTTCTTGCGAAGGCCTACCAGTAGTTGCCTCCTGAACTCTTGACCCCTTCCTGGGGACCGACTTTTCTTGTCGAGCAGTGTTGTGACGCTTCTTTGGCCCAGCGAGGGCTCCCATGGGGGCCGACGAATTCCGAACACCTGCCCTCGCTTTTGTTTGTCACGACGCTAGGGGGTCTCGGCTCTGTCGGGCAGTTCCGAAGGGGCTTGCAGCATTGGTGCGCGCGGGCATGCGTGGGGCTGCCACAGGCGAAGATACAGGGCTATCGGCTGGCACCTCCCCGCTGCCCCCCCGCACTGGATAGCTCGAAGAAGAAAAGACGGCATAAACAGAAACCTGTGGCGCTGCGCGCAGATTTCTTGGATCCGCGCTGGGCCCCCACGGCGGCGCCTCTGGCGCCGCCCCTGGTGCGCTTTGCGCGCAAGGAGGGGGGGGGGGTCCAGCGCAGATCCAAGACATCCGTGCGGAGCGCCACAAGTTTCTGTTTGTGGCGTTTTCCTTCCTCTTGACGACCTGGGCCATCGCCCAGGAAACAAAAAACGCTCTCTCGCGTGCACCCCGAGGAGGGCCCAGTCGAGCAGAGGAGGGGCGCCCCCGCGGCGGCCAGCGCCCCCGCGGCCGCGCCGCCGGCCGCGGAGGCCTCTGGCGCGGACGCCGCGGCCTCCGACGCGGCGCCGCCCGCCGCGGAGGCCTCTGGCGCGGACGCCGCGGCCTCCAGCGCGGCGCCGCCCGCCGCGGCCACGTCGCCCGACGAGCACGGGCGGTGGCCCGGCGGCGACAACGGCTCCAGGAGGGAAGAACCCAAGAGATCCAAGGTACTGAAGACGTCAAGATGGAGGCTTTCGCTATCTTCTGCCTCTGGCCAGACCCTCGCCAGGCCCTGGGACCGTCAGAAGACGACTCGGGATGGAGAGCTGGTCCTCGGGGATGGGTCGAGGCATCCGGGGCCCCCGTTTTGAACAAGCCAAGGTATCGGATCTCTGGGACCACCCCGACCCCCATCATCGGCGTTTACTCAACGGTCCTGGGCGTTCACGAAGCAGCCTGGCCCTGTTCGACTCCTTCCTTGGGTGCGGGTGCTAACGGCTTCGCTCGTCGGGGTGCGTATTACGAGGGTGGCTCTTCTGCCCTCCAGAGGCAAAACCTACGCGACCGCTGAGGGCGCGCGCATCGCCGACGCCATTGCGAGCGTGCGCCGCAGGTCCGCGAACGCGAAGGCCAGCGAGAGGCGCCGGCGGAAGCGGCAGAAGCAGGAGAGGCGCCTCGCGGCGGGCTTCGCGGTGGACGGCGCAGGGGCGGAGCGCGGCGTCGACGACGAGCCAGAGCGAGTGGCGAAGGCGAAGGCGAAGGATAAGGCGAAGGGCGAGGGCGAGCCAGGCGGGGGCAGCGCCCAGCCTGCGGGGCGCGAGGATGCGCCCGAGGGCCACGAGGCCTGGAGCAAGGTCTTGGCATCGTTCGGACGTGTGCATCTTTTTACGAGGGCCACCGGGGAGCATTTTGGATCATCCTGCGAAACTGCACGCACGAAGCCGAAAGATGCACGAGGAATGGACGTCCGATCGATGGCAAGAGGTCCGCTTCGCGCCGTCGACGAACTCGGTGAAGCTGAACCTGGGCACCCTGAAGCTGAACCTGGCCTTCCAGACGACGGTGCCCTGGCATCGCTCGGACGTGTGCGTTTTTTCACTGGCGAGAGCCCTCGAGGGGCGCCTTGGACCCTCGTGCGCAAATGAACGCCGGGGAGGAGGAGAATGAGGAGCAGGAGGAGGAGGAGGAGGAGGAGGAGGAGGAGGAGGAGGGAGGAGGAGGAGGGAGGCGAGGAGGAGGAGGAGGAGGAGGAGGAGGAGAGGAGGAGGAGGAGGAGGAGGAGGAGGGAGGAGGAGGAGGAGAGAGGAGGAGGAGGAGGAGGAGGAGGAGGAGGAGGAGGGAGGAGGGAGGAGGAGGAGGAGGAGGAGGAGGAGGAGGAGGGAGGAGGAGGAGGAGGAGAGGAGGAGGAGGAGGAGGAGGAGGCGGAGGAGGAGGAGGAGGAGGGAGGAGGAGGAGGAGGAGGAGGAGGAGGAGGAGGAGGAGGAGGAGGAGGAGGAGGAGGGGAGGGGGAGGGGGAGAGGAGGGAGGAGAGGAGGAGGAGGAGGAGGAGGAGGAGGAGGAGGAGGAGGAGGAGGAGGAGGAGGAGGAGGAGGAGGAGGAGGAGGAGGACGAGAACGAGGACGAGGAGGAGGAGGAGGAGGAGGAGGAGGAGGAGGAGGAGGAGGAGGAGGAGAGAATAGGAGGAGGAGGAGGAGGAGGAGGAGGAGGAGGAGGAGGAGGAGGAGGAGGAGGAGGAGGAGGAGGAGAAATAGGAGGAGGAGGAGGAGGAGGAGGAGGAGGAGGAGGAGGAGGAGAGGAGGAGGAGGAGGAGGGGAGGAGGAGGAGGGGAGGAGGAGGAGGAGGAGGAGGAGGAGGAGGAGGAGGAGGAGGAGGAGGAGGAGGAGGAGGAGGAGGGGAGGAGGAGGAGGAGGAGGAGGAGGAGGAGGAGGAGGAGGAGGAGGAGGAGGAGGAGGACGACGAGACATACACGTGGTTATCCGAACAATGCACATGGAGTGGGCGTCCGAGTGATGGCGAGGTGATAGCGTGCGGGGGCAGCCGGGACGAGGCCGAGCGCGTCGCCCGCCTCTGCTGGGTCAAGTTCGCGGAGGGCGCCAGCAGGGACGAGGTCCCACGGAAGGGGCATCCACGCACCGCCACGGCCGTGCCTGGCAGGGGCCACCCTGGGCCCAGGATGGTGTACCGACCCCCTGGCCGTAAGTCGGGCATGTCCCTCTACAGGAGGAATGTTCAATCAAATAGTCACACGATGGTCAGGGGATGATTTTTTTATAGAGTATTTTTGGATTATGTTTGAATGTTCTGTTGACTATTTTGCATTCTCCTTCCAGAATCCGCGTGTAGGAGGACATGCTGGACCTAACCCTGGCCGAGGCCACAAGGGCGTGCACGCCGTGCGGGGTGCCGCCCGGAGGCCCCGAGAGCGAGGACGGGCGGGCGCCGGGAAGTCCAGCGGTCCAGCCCGCACGGAGTCCGGGGCATGCCTCCTGGCATCCTCGCCAGGAGCCGTCCCAGACTGGCGCTGGGCCATCCTGGCGGCCTTGGTGCCCAGTCAGGGCCGTCTTGGAGGCCGTGGGGCACCTTGGAGAGAGAAACGGGGAGGCGTCGGGCCCTCAAGGGAGCCTCGGGAGAGGCCGTCTTGGAGGCCGTGGAGCACCTTGGAGAGAGAAACGGGGAGGCGTCGGGCCCTCAAGGGAGCCTCGGGAGAGGGGGTTGGGGGGCAATGCGCGGCAGGTTCGCGTCGCTTCGACCGGCGGCGAACCCCCGCCGCCGGCGTTCCACGTTTTCCCCGCTGGGGGAGGGCAGGCCGGCTCTCCCAGCGTGCCCCGCCCCCCGCCCCAGGGCGGGGACGGGCGCCGCGGACCCCGGAGGAGGCGGTGGCCATCCACGCCTCGGGGCCGAGGCGAGGGGCACCCATATTTCAGTAAGTCAAGTCGGGCACGTCCCTCTACAGGAGGAAGATGAACTCATTGCTTTTCTTCCTTTTTTATTTTAAGAAAAAAGTCAGGGGGCGATGTCTGGACTATTCCTGACCATGTTTGAGCATTTTATTGTTTTTTTTCCCAGGTTCCGCCTGTAGGAGGGCGTGCCCGACCTGAGCCCGGATCTCCGACGCCATGGCCTCTCCACGGCGTGGGCCCCCCCCCCCCCCCCCCGAGGCGGGGCCCCCTCCGAGGGGGGGCCCCGGGGCTGCGCCCCCCGAGCCGCTTAATTTTTCCTGGGCTGGGCCCGGGCCTGGCGAGGAGGGCCCCCACGGGCCAAACCTCACCACCCACCAAACCACCCCAACCCAACCCGAAGGCCCCAATTTATCCTCGATTTCCAGTTGGGGGGGGTCGTGGAACATTGAGAAAACACATATGGAACCCGTACCCTCCCCAACCCGAAATTCGGGTCTTCGGGTTGGGTTGGGGTGGTCTGGTAGGTAGTCAAAACCTTTGGGGAAGCCTCTGGACTCTTCTTTGGGTTTCCACTCTATTCTAGCACGAATGGGGCACTGAGAATCATATATCACCAGTATTGAGAAGAAGGAAGTGCTAAGCATAATATCAATGACGGTAACAATGCTAACACACAGGCACACACAGATATATATATATATATATATACGCATTCAATGACCAAGCGAGGCGAGGGGGTCTGGCCACGCCGACCGGCGGGGTCAAGGTGTTCCCCTCCCGGGCGGCGCCAACACAAGAAAAAAACTTGGGAACCCCCAGACCGGGTGGTGAGATACCAGGTGGCGACCTGGAATCCCCAAAAAGGTCACCGCTGGGTTTGGGGACGCGGGGTCACCGCCGGGTTTTGTGACTCCTGGGCCCACCAACGCTCGGGGCATCCTCGGAAAACCGCACGAGTCCCCACACCGGGTGGTGACACCAACTCGCCCGAGACTCACCGCCAGGTGTTGTCACCACCACGTTCGGGGACTACCAAGAAACGCGAGGTCGACCGCGCGGAGGTGTCGCGCGCGCAAGCTGCCCGCGCAGGGGGCTGCGCGTCCGCGCCGTCGTCTCTCCTCTCAAAGGCAGCATGCCGCGCCGGCGGCCCGCCTACGCCGCCGTGGAAGTCGGCGGCGAGCGAGGGGGGGAAGCTCAAGCAGCTGCGAAGCGTCCTGGCTCGCCCATAGGCCCACCGAAGAATGTTATGAAAACCTTTCGTGGTCTGCACGAAGTGTTCTCAGACCATATCTGGTTGAGACGGTCTTGCTTTTACACATCGGGTTCATGTTCAAAGAACATCGTTTCTGTTATTAGAACAACTTTGGGTTCCAAGAATTCTTCGTGGTAGGACTATAGGAACGCCGGGACGGTCGGTCCCTGCTCAAGAAGTGAAAAGGGGCGGGCCTTCTCAGAAAGCTCGGAAATCCCCTGGCCTTCTGAGAAGTTTCTACGCCTGCCTCGAAGGCGCATTAAAAACCGCTCAGAATGCCAGAGGGCTTCTGAGAAGTCCCGCCGTCGTCTGAGAAGGCCTTCTCATTCTCACTCCCCTTCTCGCTCGCCGCCAGGTACCTAAGGTCGCTGTGCCATCACGCGTAAGACCCTTTTTCTTTTCGTGGCTCAGGTGGGGGTGGGGGTGCCTTCCGTGTAGAAGCTTAGCTGCCTCGATGCGCCCTTTCTAATACGCAGCACATGCCGTGCTCAAGCCGTCGGTGTCAATACGCTGCGTGTTGGCTCAGGGTATTGGCCTACATGTTGGCGAACGTATCGCGTCAGACCTGCGTTTTCAGTCTACGTGTTGCGTTGTGCGTTTTTGAACCATAAGTGGGCGTTTGGGCCATGTGGGGTTATCAGCACCGCGCACTTGCCCCTTCGCCTCTTCCTCTCCTTCGTCCTCTTCGGCAGCTCTCGCTCGTGCTTGCGGGCCGAATGGTTGTGACATTTTCGTTGCGTGCTGGCGCGCGGAGGAACAAAAACAAATACGCGACTCCGAGTTTCTTCATATGCGTCGGGGGGGCCTCACCCCCGCCGACAGCCCCTCATCGACCCACGTCGCGGGCAGCCACCGCGCGCCGAAGGCGCTCCGACCCCCGTCGCGGCGCGACGACACTGCGAGGTTGACCCCCGTCGGGGGGGGACCCCCCCACGCTTATTAAGAAACCCAGAGCACGTGTTGCGTGTTGCGTGTCGGGGCAGCTGAGCTTCCGTGCCAAGGTGGTCGCCTACAGGCAGGCCTTGTACGACGCCCTGGCCCAGGGCGCCCGGGCAGGCGCGGCGCCCGCCCGGGCGGCCGCGGGGGCCGGCGCACACGCGGGCGACGAGGTGGCCGACCTGGAGGCCGCGAAGCGGGACCTGAAGGCGCCAGGGGTTGTGTGTCTCGGGAGGTGGAGGAGGAGGAGGTGGAGGAGGAGGAGGAGGAGGAAGAGGAGGAGAGGAGAGAGGAGGAGGAGGAGGAGGAGGAGGAGGAGGAGGAGGAGGAATAGGAGCGGAGAGGCAGGAGGGAGGAGGAGGAGGAGGAGGAGGAGGAGGCAAAGGCGGAGTAAAAGCTGGAGGAGGAGGAGGAGGAGCGGAGGAGGAGGAG